CCCGCAGAATTCATCACTGGATTGCACATCCCACTTCAATTATACTGAAAAGGTAAGTGATGTTTTTAATAGCACTATGCTTACAGTTACATCACGTTGAAGCACAGGTTCCTGTACGATCACGGAAGTTAAACAAGGTCGGGCCTAGTCAGTAAATAGATGGGTGACCGTTTGAGAATACCAGGTGCTGTAAGTATGTGTAAATAGTGTAATGGATAATAATTCGGAATTGTTAATCTGAGAGCCGAGTTTTAATTCCGGTTAGGTTCATTATATTCACTTACGCGGAAGCACACTTGGGAAAAGATATAAATCCACCTCTTCCCAACCCACATCAGCTATAGGTATTTTAGTAAGACTTGTATCAAAATATATATCCGAAAGAATTTAAAATATTTGCTGGCTTTAAATACCCTACAACGGGTTGATAAGACGTAGAAAATGAATGACTCAATCAATGAGATACTGATTAGCTACACAGACATTTTTTTTTAGATTTATTCACATTCTCTGGGATATAAATATAGAGAATTTACCATGGACACAAAGTGAGGGATCAGTTTATATATTGATTGTGATATGGAATTGAACCCCCCCCCACACACACACACTTTATAATTTTTTTTTTTTTGTTTATCAGATTCTGATTCGATATGAATCCACCTCCTCAAAGCTATGGATTCATTTGTAAGACTTGTGTCACTAAAAACATCGTTAATCTCTCTACCCCCACCCACAAAAATTCTTATATTCTAAAACCATTTCTGGTTTTGAATAACCTCCAAAGGCTTGATAGGCCGTAGAAGACGAATCACTGAATCAATAACTTTAAACTGACGACAGAAAGCAGCAATATGTTACGTTTAACGAAATAGTTTATTCATAAAACTAATAGCTAATTTCAAATGTGAATTCATCTTTCGTGTAGGAAGCTGTCGCCAGACTGTCGAAGAATGTGAGCATTGTTTTTGTTGTAAGTATGCACCACATGAAGAGTAATGAAGTAAAATAGTGCTTCAAATGGTTTCCGCGATATTTAGTCATTCATTTTAAGCTAATCTCATAACAGACACGAATCGGTGAAAAAATTACTATTATTTGATTACATATCAAACAGCGGCGCCTTGTGAGACGATAGGTCGAATGGCAGTTTTGCATTTAGAAGACTTTATAAAAGCGGGAAAGAAGAAAATGTGCACAAATGTTTTTCTCTCCCTTTATTTGGGAAGTTAACAATTTTCTTAAAGAATATTGGTTCAGTTCCGTACTGGAATGATTATTTAAACAATATGTTTGCATATTGTTTTGTGATGCAATGCCGAAGGGAGAGTGGGAAAAAGCTGGACGACACTGTCTATCCTACTCCTCGCTAATCCGACTCGCGACCCATTCACTCTAAAAATTGACACAATCTCCATAAGAAGTCATCCTTCTCCATCAAAACCAACATGTACCACAATACCACATTTTCGTTGAAGATCTAATAAAACCCACATGATAATAAAAATCCATACTGAAATGATTGCAAAAATACCCCCGTCTCAAAATTTATAGACAAACATCCTGATACAAATTGGGATTTCTTCCTAGCTAATAAGATAGACCACTTCTCGCTCTTGTCTGACTTCGTTCTGTCGTAACAAATAACTTAAATAATATCTGTAAAAACGTAACGTATAAACAGAAAATATATTAAATAAATATCGGACTTAATCCATTTCATAATATGTTGTCATTGTTTACGTTAAAATACATTTCGTCAGCATATATAATCAATCGAGAAAAATCGTCGAAGATTGTGTGCTTATAGCTTCTCCGTAGCTAAATTGTATAGGTTTCTCTATAGGAATACAGGTTCAATTCCTGTCGAAGAACGCCTATATTCTACGAAATTTCTCGAACATTCAGACCGGTAAATATAATTAATAATGTTTAATTAAAAACAGAACATTTACTTAAATAAATTGTATTTATAAAAATAACGTATAAACAAAAAATATTAAAATGATTGTCGGGATTAATCCATTTCATTATATGTTATCATTGTTTACGTTAAGATACATTTCGCGAGCAGATGTGATCGATCGAGAAAAATCCTCGAAAGTGTGTCTTTATAAACAGTAATTCGGACTTTGTAAACCAGACGTTTCTTTGTGGTTGAATGGTTAACAGCGCATCAGATCAAATGCCGGTTTCCCATAAGGGTTACAGTTTTGATTACTGTCGGAGAAGCGCATGTTTTCTACGAAATTTGTCGAAAATTCAGACCAGTAAATTTAATTAATACTGTTTAATTAAAAACAAAGCAAAAATTATATACTGGGTCTCATGAGACCCAGTATATTATTTAAAAAAAAATCATAAGTAATATTTCGTGCCTGATGAGTTGGTAAAACAGCGAAACTTAAGTCGCTCTCCAAACGTATATATATCAATAAATAAAAAGAGAGAACAGTAAGATATATAATCCGGTGTTCTTATTGATATTTTTTATTTTACAAAACAGTGCTCAATGTAAATTTACAGAGCATAAATATTATAAATTAACTGATTTAAAATATGGTTTCTTCGCTACACAGTAATAACCATGTTTCAAAAACTGAGGCTAAGAACTTTAAATTTAATTATATAATTAAATTAAAAGCATTCGTTCTGTTTTATCTTCAAGCGAAATTTTGGAATAACTTATTTTTAAATTTACTGAGTTTTAAACGCACATATAAATTCATAATTTCTTGTTTTCAAGAATACAGAGAAATCCAATCATTTAGACAATGAAAATATACACACACACACACATATATATATATATATATATATATAGGCTCCTGAAAAATTAATTTCGGTTGAGCTCTCTGGGTTTGTAAACAGTGACTATTACGGCTATTATAGCAAGACTCTTCGGTAAAGCGAATCGAGTCCTCTCAGTCACTGTGTGTTTATCTAAAGATAAATACGCTTAGATTCACCTTCATCTCTGCCGTGCGCCGACGGCTTAGTGGTAGAATTTTCGATTAACGTCATTTCAGCCGGGTTTCGATCCTAGCTAGAGGCAACCGGACGTCTAGCCACACTGAAGAGCTGTGATACAGCGAAACACTGTCTGTAGATTACAGTGTATATATATATATATATATATATATATTTCTTCGGATCTTTTCTGCTAATTCATCCCAAATATTGTAAAGTTACTTATCGCAAATATTAAATAAAAGTTTGTTTTTTTATTAAATTTTTGGCGCTCTTTTGAAATTATAAATTTTAAATCAAAATTTCTTTAGCTTGACATGAAGTTGCTGGAATTAATACAAGAATGCGATGACAAGAAGAGTGGCGTTCGCTTCTTACAGAGAGCAAATATTCTTCCTACGCCGATGAAATGCTCTAAAGGACATCATATGAGTCGTGTAAAATAATAAGTACAATAAAACTAAGATATTGTTCAGTTTTTCGAACTAAATAATGTCTTAGTCTTATTTTACGATTCAGGGTAGATTTTCAGTAACTTTTAATTGCTTTTATGAATAAGATATTTTATAGACACTATAGTTTTAAGAAAAGATTAATAATGAATTTTTACAAGAATTATGTTGAGTTTTTAATAAAATGTTAATAATTTATAATGTGTTAAATATTTTAAACTTCCATATTAATTTATTCCAGTTAGGTTATACTTACTAATCATAAATGAAAAAGTTCACTACAATTCAAAGATCTCATTATTTAAAAAATAATGTGTGTGTGTTTTCTATAAACGTATCGATTTTTGTAAATATGAACAACTATACACGACAGAAAATATAATCAATAACTACAAACTTAAAATTTAAAAACTAAGTATATAAAATTCAATAAAACATTACATTAAGGAGAATATTTTCCAAAATTATTAAGATTACTGGGTAGTTAAAAATACTATAAAAAAAGCGTTCATGTAATATTTTGTAAATATATGTCCTCCGTAGAAAAAATTAAAACTTCCAGTCAACAAAATTTTCAACACCTTAAATAAAAATCTACCTACGTGTTAAAAAATGCGTTTCTAAGATATTTTAACCTAAAAGTAATAATTGTTTCAAATGAGATTAATTAAACTTTTAACTAATGTTCCTTTAATTTTCTGAAATAATTTTTTAATAAAGAGAATTACATTACACTAAAAGTTGGCTAAAAATGACGAAATTGGGCGATTTTTAATGATTTTGAAACAAAAAAATCTTACCAATAAATTTAAATTAATTTTGGAAAAAAGCAAAGTATTTTACTCATTGGAAAAATTAAATTTAATCTATTAGGCTTGAAATTAAAAATAAAATAAAAGCTACAAGGAAGAAATTCAAAAATCATTTTTTTTAATGATTTTGAAACAAAAAAATTATCCATATAAATTTAAATTAATTTTGGAAAAAAAGCAAAAAGTATTTTACTATAATGGTTAAAAAAATTAAATTTAATCGATTATGGACATTTTCATTTGAAATTAAAAATAAAATAAAAGCTACAAGGAAGATTTTTCAAAAATCATTTTCAACTTTAAGCATCACTTTTCTTTAGATGTACTTTATATAAAATTAATCTATCAAAAATCTATGAAAATTTTTAAGCCTCTATCTATCTATGAAAGACAGACGTGGAAACAATTATATATGTATGTGAAAGAAAATACAGAAAAAAAAAATTCGATGCAATAGTTCTGCATTAATAATGTTAAAATAAAGTCGACGTCGGCTTGAAATTTCACGTCTAAAGTAAAAGACCATCTTCATAGACATTTTCAAAAATGATTTCGACAGTATCAAGACTTTTTGAATTTTAATTTTGAAATTAACGTTTTAACAACATCGCCCACGAGACAACTGGATCATATTTAAACAGAACATGTTAAAATTTCAGTTATCAATTTATTTATAAGTTATAATGTTAATTATGTTTAAATGAAAATGTCCATGCAAGATGGTTTAAAACGTCCGACGTCGACTTTTATTTTAATATTCCAATTTTGTTTTTCGTATTTTTCTTTCATACTGTCGGATTTATATCCATATATTTGCTTTACTGTCTTTGAAAGATAACTGATTTATTTTATAACGTGGAAGATTTCAAGCTCATTGGACGAATTAGATTTAAACTGTTTTTAGAACTGATCGTTTTGGAAATCATTTTGGATTTAGATTTCTTGGAATGGAATTTTTCGAATTGATGTTTTTAAGAATCATTCGAATACGTCTGATCGCCCACGTGACACTACGTGATCATATTTAATCAAACTGATCTGTATAAAATTTCAGTTATCTGTTTGAAAAGTTTCTTTGTCCATCGTCTTTTATGTTAAATTGTTATAAGTTATAATGTTAATTATGTTTAAATGAAAATGTTGAAGATGGTCTTAAATAGACCGAAACGTCCGACGTCGATTTATTTTAACATTAATAATGCATATTCAGAATTTTGTTTTTTTCTGTATTTTTCTTTTACTTCGAATTTATATCCATATATTTGTTACATACTGTCTACTGAAAATACAAAGCTGAATTTCTTTATAACGTGGAAGATTTCAAGTTGGACGAATAATAATCTTTTAAGGAAAAATTTCATCGAACTGTTTTTGAACTGTTGCATCGTTTTTTGAAATCATTTTTGGATTTGCATTGTAAGGGGAAAGGACTTTAAGCTTGTTGAAGATATAAAGAACCAATTGTTTCGTATTCCAACATCAACGGAAGAGATTTCTTTAACTTTTTAAAATTTTTCAATCGACTTTTTGATATTTTAATTTTTGGAAATCATCTTCGAATACGTCTTAACAACGCCCACGTGACGACTACGTGATCATATTTAAACAGAACGCTGATCTGTATAAAATTTCAGTTATCTGTTTGAATTAGTTGGGCTCTTATGTCCATCGTCTTTTATTTAAATTGTTATAAGTTATAATGTTAATTATGTTTTAAATGAAAATGTCCATATGAAGATGGTCTTAAATAGACCGAAACGTCCGACGTCGACTTTATTTTTAACATTAATAATGCATATTCAGAATTTTGTTTTTTTCTGTATTTTTCTTTCATACTGTCGGATTTATATCCATATATTTGCTTACATATGTATGTGTGTGTGTATAAATATGAAAGACAAATGTGTGTAATGTTTATATATATATATATATATATATATATATATATATATATATATATATATATATATATATATAATATATATATATATATATATATATATATATATATATATATATTGAAATATATATATATATATATATATATATATATATATGAAAATTATATATATATATATATATATATATATATATATTATATATGCACAAAAAAATATGGGAAAGAACCTCATAAAAATATATAAAATATAAAGCTCTAAACACATATATGTTTAAGTTTAAAGTTGGCGTGATTCAATTTTGTCTGGTACCCATAAAGTGGTGGATTTAATTTTGGCATTACAGAAGCGAAACCGTTCAGACAATGTCGTTATATAATTTGCATGTTTCTCACAATATCTTCTTTCATTTTGAAAAAGAAATTTCTAGTTACTCTTTATCTTCCTTTGTTGTGTGTCTTTCTGTTTATTTGTTTCGTTGTTGTTGTTGTTGTTATTCCTCTTCTAATGTAAATTCATTGGAAATCAGCTTAAAACATAGCTGTTGGCATCTTTGTGATAAGGTCTCTGTTAAAAGGGCACTAAATATCGTATTCATGAATGTCGATATAATTGAATTGAATTATCAACAGGCTTACCTGAGCAAGGTTCTCGTCCAAGAAGAAGAAAAAGAATGTATTGACACTTACCTGAAATAGAAAGAGAAAAAGAGGCATTATTAGATTAGGTTTTAGGTGGTGTTGTGTAAAATGACTAAAAATTTGTCTCATCACGACTTACGGCTTCTATGCACATATAAGCATATTAACAATCAGGTACGACTGTTTACATAAAGATAAACGCGATTATTAATGCGCGGAGAGGCTACTATCAAATGAACGAAGGTAATATAACCCCAAAGTCACTGTTTCAAAGTCTTTTAAGTAAACTACCAGGACCGGTGGAAGGGTCTCGTGGCCTCACCTCGAATCTATGATACAGCCCCGACCCTTCAATTTATGATACGAGGCCCCTTCTTTACTACATTTCAATTTTCATAAGGTAGTTTAAGGATTAGCTACTTGAATAATTAAATGCGTACGTTTTCTCACAGAAACATTGTGTAGTACATGAAATAATGGTGGTGTAAAAGAGTCCATGCACAAAATAACAGACTGATTTATTTGTAGTGGAAGATAACATTTATTTTAGACAAATTAACAAAAGGAAAGTTGAAAACAAGAGTTTCTTTTATTAGACGTAAATTGTATATACAACGAAATACTTAACAATATGTTTGAGTGAGGCTTACTTTGTTGTTGTTTTTTTTATGTGTGAAGCATTCACAGCCCTTTTAGCCTCAGCGTGGAAAGTTGATGACACCAATTCGAAATTGGTGTCATGAACTTTCCACGCTGAAACTAAAAGGGCTGTGAATACTTCACACATAAAGCACATGAACCCGGAAGAGAGAGAGAGAGAGAGAGAGAGAGAGAGATAAAGATAGAAAGAAAGAGAGTGTTACTTTAGGGTTCACGTGTTTTTGAGAGCTGTTGCTGATAAGTTTTTTTTAGAGCTACTACTGCTACTATGTTTAAGGTCACTACTGTAGTATTCATATTAAATATAAATGTTATTGCATCCTAATTATGTACAATAATGGATCATATGCAATTTAACTTAAAAAATTTAAAATTATTACAGTGTATCTAAATACAAATGAGAGATATGTTATAATAGATCATTCCATCTTAAATAAATCAACAATGTTTTACAGCAATTTTTAAACGTTAACTTCAGATTTTTCTTGTTAAAAAGTTGAAGAATTTTAATACGTTCAACATTATGGATAAAAATAGTGATTTTTATATTGTGTGTTTTTTTTAAGACTTAGCATGGGCAAAACAAATAAACGGATTTGGACGAAAAAAACCCCAAAAACCGAGAATGATGTCAAAATCCGAGAAAATTTTTCATCCTTTAATAGTCATTTTGCATAGTTTAATTTGTAATGTACACATGTAGGTAGAACAAAAGTAAATGTTAATAAGATAGCGAGGGTCACAAAGCATTGCCCGGCATACGAGGCTTGGTCCTCCGGCGGTCGTGTGGTTCGACTGTAGTACGCACCTACAGTAATTATTTGAGTATAATACGAAATTCTTTTTCCCCAGAATTTTATGCTTAAATGTTCTTGTAACGCTCACAAATATTGTATTAAATAAATAAAAAAAATAACAGTGGCAAAAGTGGAGTGTTATTTCATTTTAGATATGTAGTCACGTGATGCGTCGGTATAAAAGACGCGCTAAATTTAAAAAAAAATATGCAAAACACCCTCTCTTCGTTTTTGGACCTGCCTTACCAGCGTTCGTCATATACCTAACAGTTTTAAGGTAATCTTTCTTTTTCCTTTCGCTCACTAGCCATCGGGCCGAGATCAAAGGGTAGTATCTGTTCTCTCCTTATTTTTGATGAGAGAAGGTGCACGATCCCGGGGATCCCATCACCTGCAGTATCACCTTTGTCATTGCAATAAGAGAGGTCGGGTCGGTGCAATATAGAACCATAGCATGACAGTAGTCTTTCTTTATAAGGAAACATTCAGTATTTATTGACTGAGCAGCTTGTACAACGTCCAATTGAGCTTTATAAAATATTTCTCTTAAAAGAATTCGTTAGAGACGAAAAGTTAAGAAGCATATCTTCCCCTCTGACACCAGGTTCTCTCCAGCCAGTAGAAGACACTGTGAAGATCCGATGGCAGAAATTAACATTTTTTATTTTAGAAAGTACATGAACTGCTAAAGTCGGGAGTAAAGGAGAGCGAGAAGAAAGGACTAACTGTCAATTGTAAGAAGAGAGAATGAATGGTTGTCAGCAACAGAAATATGCAAATTACAAATTGGAGATTTCAAAAGTTTTAAATATTCAGGGTGTGTATTATCAGAAGATAGAAAATTCGACACCGAAATTCGAACGGCAAGTGAAATGGCAAAAGTTGCATTCGAAAAGCTAAGCAAAGTATTAAGAAACAGGAAATTTTCGTTAGAAACAAAAAAGTATTAATGAACTCTTATATAATACTAATAGAGATTTTTTTTTTGGTTCATCTTTAGATCTAAGTAACGACTACTTGACCAATAAGAATGTAATAAATAAAATCAGAGGCTAATCAGGGATTTAGAAGGGGTTTTTTCTGTCGCTCACTTCCGTAAATTATAAGTCGAACTATGGCTGGTTGACCAATGAGAATATGACACGAAATGGTCTGTAATTGGATCACCAACAAAAGCCTTTTTAGGCGGAAAATCTCGTCCATAAAGTCTGAAGTACTGAATTCTATGACAAGAAGACCGTAGATGAAAAGTCAAGAAGCATTTCTTCCCCTCTGACACCAGGTTTTCTTCAGCAAGTAGAAGACAGTGTGCAGATCTGGCTCAGTGAAGAAAATCCCAGACTCTGAACCAATTAACCAAATTACGATCATCATATGTTGTTTAGCCAAAGTCCTTAGTGCTGACAAATCTTACTTTGTCTTTTTCGCTTTCTCCTACTTGGCGACATTAACGCCTTTTGAAAAGAACTGTCTACTTTCAATAACTACTTGGCAGAAATTAACATTTTCTGTTCTTTATGAGCTGTTTTCACAATCGTGTTACAATAAATATTTTTGTTATTTGTTAACAGAGAGTTGCATGACTTTTTTTTTAAGTTGCTGACCCTTCAAGCAACTCGTATCGGCTATCCTGACCGACAGAAGGAGTTCCATCCCAAGAAGATCATCCCCCTTGGATCTTTCAAAAACAGCTAGGGCGCAGAAAGAGTTGGCAGAACAACTAGTCTGAAACGCATATCGTAGTCACGGAACTAAGACCACATTTAGTACCGTGACTAGCATAAGACCACAATAAAATTCAAATGTTCAATTTTACTGTCAAGCTTTCTGATAACTGGTTGATTTTGGGTCAATCTATTCAGGTGAATAAGAAATGATCTCTTTACATATGCGTTCCATTGACAAATCTACATCAATACCTGGAGACGTGTCCTTAGCTGGCCACATTCCCTGAAACGTCGTGTCTTTAAGTATGCCATGTTATCTAATATAAAAGACACTTTGATCAAACCAAATTGCTATATATTTTATAATTTCTATTACAAATATTAGGTGAATGCAGAAGAAATCCTCGAGAGATAGATGCTAGTAAGAAGATTTTGTTGCTCCAAGTTATTCACGTTAGACATGTCTATTTTGAAAATGAGCATTGGAAATCTTAGATTCAGCATGTGACTTTAAATCACAATGTTGTTTGAAGCAGTTAACAGGTTTACTAGGTGAGCCAAAACTCTTGATTATTTGGTTGTTTTCGTTTCAAGGAGTGAGAAAAAAAACAAAAAAGGAAACAAGAAAGAAGGTAAACATATCAAGTGATCGAGTTTCAATAAAACATCATTGCATCGCAGTGAAGACAGACGCCATTATTAGTATCTCACTCAGATTCACTGAACGGGCATCGCTTCAGTACAACTTACGGAGCTGTGGCTAAAACCCTGAGCGAACGTGTTCAACTGCTTGTTTCCTAGCGCACTCGCATTCAAAATACTAATAAAACAAATTATACATTTACAGTATAAAGCATAATTTGAAATATAACCGGTTTACAACCATAAACTGTTGAAATACCGGTTCCCTTACGACCACCGAAGTTAAGCAACGTTGGTCAGTACCTAGAAGTGGGACCGCTGGGAATACCAGATGTTTTGAGTTTTGATGTGCGGGTGGTGTAATGGATAATAGTTCAGAATTGTTACTAAGAAAGCCGAGTTCCAATTCCAGTCGGGTTTGTTATATTCACTTCCCCAGGTATGAATCCAACTCTTCTCACTCCAGCTATGGGTTAATTAGTAAGACTTGTAGCCATAAATCATTATTATCCCTCATCCCAAAATATTTTCTGGCTTTAAATAACCTGCAAACGGTTGATAAACCATAGAAAACAAATTAACCAATCAAAATATAATCCCTTTTTTTTTTTTTTTTTGGTGTTTTCATTGTTAGTCTTCGGTTTTTCTCGTCGGTGGATTTTACGTCGGCGTTTTTCATGTATCGCGTTTTCACGCGTCAATTTGTGTCGAATTCATCTATTATTATCATTTTATTTCCTTTGATTTCTGGTGTGTACACATTTCTTTCCACGTCCCACCCAGAGACCTAAGGTTAGAAATGGCATCATGACATTTTCCACTGACAAAAAATAATATATATATTTTACATAGATAAAGCCCTTCGTAAGGTGTGGTCTGTACTCGTGAGAAAATTTTTTTTGCATTTCTTTAAGGCATGGACTTCCAGGAATCCCTTCAATGAATCTACTGACTGGAATCTTTTTCAACCAATCCGAGGGCTCCAACTACAAGAAGGATTGTTGATGCTTCCATGTGCCACATTTTTGAGATTTCAGTTTCAAGGTTCTTCTATTTTGATAGCTTTTTGAAGATCTTCAAAGGGACTGCCATATCAATAAGGAGGCACTTTTTTGTGTGCAATCTTTAATAACACTGTCTGGGCGGTTAACTTTGATTGTTCTGTCAGTGAGTATTGTGTAGTCCCATAAAATTGTAACAGGTCCTATTTCCGTAACCGGGTCTGGGTGGTGTTCATACCAATTTCTTTCAGTTTCCTTCCCGTGGAAGTTTCAGATTATTATTATTATTATTATTTCTGTTATTATTGGGCGTGAAAATAAAACATTTTCATAAAAGCAAATGAAAGACGAAAGTACCCAGGAGACGTTAGGAAATTGATGTTCAAATTCAAATCGGATAATAAAAAAATGTGATTTGAACCAGAAAAAAAAGAAGAAATTTCTTTTATCTTTAACAAAATCGTTTCAGCTTTCAGCTTCACCGTGTTGGAACTGTTTAGACACTGTCAACTGGCATCGCTATTGCACATGAGCTAACTCTAATGGATCAAAAAGAGGGTGGGCCAAATGTAGACTTACAGTTGTTTCACTATTTGTTTCATGTTTTTGATCACAGCTCAGAACTTCGCCGAACTTTTCTTTCAACAAGATGGAACACCTCCCTAACCTGCTTTGGCCATAAGGGACTACGATAACCAAACTTTTCAACAGCTTTGGTTCGGAAGAAGGGGGAGCATCGAATGGCTAGCACGTTCACCTGGCATAACACCAATGGATTTCTTTTGTGGGGGTTTGTGGTACAGAACAAGGTTTATTAAAGAAGTCCCTACGCATTAGGCAAATTAAGAGTACATTTCAGAAGTATTTTTTAAAATTGACGCAGATTGGGATTTATGTCGGGCTGTGTGTCACAGTGTTCTGGAGAGGTTCGAGGAATTTTGCAATGTCGTAGGAGGACAT